CAAAAATATTCAATCCACATTAACAAATGTAAAGGGAAAACCGTCTCCAAAAACACCGAAATATAAAGTTCGCATCTTTAGTACCTACGCATTTTCTACTGGTGATAAAATTACGGCAAATCTTCAAATGTTCACAGGGTTTTACATTTGATTATTCTAAAAATATAAGAGAAAATGCGATGTCTATCTGAATGCTATCCACACCAAATATTGAATAAAAGTAAATTATCAACTGCGAAGGAAATATTGTAGTGCCATTTGTGTACGCACCAAGGCAGATGCACTCTCTAATCTTAACCTTGCAGTGAACCTGTCGCCATCTCTTTATTACTACTCACCTAACCTAGGTGTACATACATTTATTACACTACTGGTGGGAGGAAAGCACATACCATTACAAACTTACTAGTACTCGATGTAATATGCGATGAGACAAGAGGGAGGTGAGCATGCGGTGACAAGCGAGCTCACAGTCCACCTGATGGTAAGCGGTCGCTGTGGCCCATAGACATCCTATCCTCTTTTGCAAGTCAAAATGTAGATGCGTTCTCAGCCGTGAGGACAAAGATAGAATGCCTCTTTTCCAGTAAAAAAGGTCTCTGTTACTCTACACTCACCATATTAAGCTGCTATTTTACGCTGGTATTCTGTGAGAGCGTGGTCCTTCCACGGTCGAGCCGACCCATTCCTCCTACAAATATATTATTAATGTAGCTACAGCATGGCTCTACCACGTAAACAAAACACGTGTCTTAGCTCTGTACTCTAGGCACAATAGCGCACTAAATTACCTTATCGAAATTTTTGAACGACACAGAGTACTGACTACTCTCTGGGCTGAACACCTTGCCCGGCGCCAGACATACCATTTAACATTAACAGGCCAATTGGTGACTACTCATTTGTAGTGATGTAAACATGCAACCTACAACCTTCGGAAACTAACTTCATCGCCACAATCACAACATAACACACCCAAAAACCAACAATTTTGTTTACAAATATTAATTACTGAGAATCGAATCTAAAATCCGCGGCGTAGAAGACAGGCACTTTTTCCTCAAAACAAAAATAAGAATTCTTTATAATCTAGCATTTTTAAACAAACGTTTGAAGTTCTTAGTAATCTAGCGGTGAGAATACTCCATGTAACTTTTCCACAGCAAGCATGAAAAATAAACAATGAAACTTATTCTGGTTTGCGTACGCAATCACGGTAAGCCTTATCGCCTACCGCATACATACGAGTACAATAATTGTCAAATGGATCAAACTGATTAGTCGAGTTGTGTGCTTGTGTCGATTTCAAGGCGATTAAAAAGTTAGGTTGATGGTGCGCATTCAGTCGATCAGCCGTTATCGATTTACTAGTTGTATTTAATTTTATCTATCGGCCGCTCTATCACCACTCATATATACTAATTTACAACTGCCGTGATAGATTATACTGTACTAGCTTGTGTTTTGTTTTATATAAAGCATAAAAAAAAGGAAAGATGGTAATGTCGCTTCGATGACGCTGATGCACAAATAACTTTTCACCGATTGACTGTTTAGTAGAGATTATGCGCGTGATATAGGTGTAATAGTTAGTTATTGATCGACTGATTAATCAAAAAAACAATCGATGTGATTTTTATTTGATTTGAGCAACTATCGAGTTGATGATATGCAGACCTCTATATCTATATATTCCCTCGGACTTTTGACATGTATATATATTTATATATGCATATTATAATTTCACGTTCACGTAATATATTTGTTCTGTCGAGACAATTGGTAGTCAATTCATTAAGAAATTCTATACTGACGAAATAAAATGAGTTATAAGTATTCACAATATAATAGGCGATTTAGGGCCAAATATAAAATCGGAAAATCTGTATCTAGGTGGCGCTGTGGTTGATTTATTAATAAATTTTATATTTATACTGTAAACAGTCCGGAGTGAATTGGAAATGAAATCATCGCGCCACCTACCGGGAAGGACAGAACAACGACTGTCGGGCCAGCTAGATGTATAACACAATATGCGCCTATCGTAATAGCAATCGTACCTTGTAACTATTAGATTTGAAATGCGAGCTTTATTTTGTGTCACGTATAAATCATTTTTCTACAATACTAATTTTACTGATTTTCAGTGTCGAGTATTTTGCAACACCCACACTTGGGGGTACTGAAGTTTGGCGTCCTGATGTCATCGTTAGCTCGGGCTACCTTCAGCTGTTATTTATTAAATTTCGCAGAATAAGGTTACTATATATATATATATATATATATATACAACGTGTCCCAAAATTCAACGATAAGCCAACACCGGAGGATAGACCTGCCCCGGACTAATCGGGTAAAAAAAGAAAAAAAAATATATCCCAATTATATTTTAAGTTATATAAAAAAAATGAAATTCTTCAGAAATTGAGACCGTTTATGATATTTTTCACTACCATGACCACAATTTTTTAAATATTTTTTTCTTTTTTTTTTATAGGCAACCTGAATAGTACTGCTATCTACCACAATTCTTAAAAACTCCAGAATAACTCTTGTTTTATCACGAAAATTAATGAAACTTATTTTATTCCCTAAATTTTTTGAAGACTTTTACTTTTAACCAAATTTAACTTATCGTGGTGTAAAAAAAAAGTATGAACACTAGTATGGCAAGTTTTTTTAAAAATTGACGCAACTAACCAATATTCCAAAATGGTATAATACTCTAGGAAAACAAGTTATAAAAAAATATGGGCCTATTATTTCTTAACAGGGGCCAAATTCCTTAAATTGTAATTGTCAGTAATCACTTTTACTACATGCCCAAAATGGGTTCCTGTTACAATTTCTAGGAATTCGAATGGGGCATTAATACCTTAGATGTTAGAGAGAGATAGATAGATAGAGATATTTACGTTAAAAAGAGACAACAACAGGGCAGGTAGAGAAGCTGTTATTATTCTCAGCAAGTCGGTTCAGTACGCTCTGCTCCTTTGTTTACTGCGCACCGTACCCAATTCAACTTACGTGGCCCTCGTACATACAATCGACTTTTGGCTTGGCTTTTTGGACTGGAATCGACCTGCAAACTTAACTGACCTGGCATTATTTGGACTGGAAGTGATCTGCAAACTGAACTGACCTGGCATTATCTTGGACTACGATTGTGTGTTTTGTGATTTAGAGTTCTGGCGCATTTTGGACTGTTTGGCGTTTAACATGCCGCAACCGTACACACCACAGGAATACGCTAATATGCATTTAATCTATGGAGAATGCCGATGTAATGCTAACGCTGCTAGCAGACTGTATCCAGAAAGATACCCAAATGCTCAAAGATATCCTGATTATCGAATGTTTATTAATGTGCATCAAGCGTTTTCGGAGGGTCGTATGCCATCCAATAGGAGCAGCGCTGGAAGACCTAGATTGGATCGTGATGAAGAAGTTCTCAAGGAGATAGAAAATGACTCGACTACTTCGGTACGTGCCATAGAAGAAGCTACAGGAATCCCGAAAAGTTCTGCACATCGAATATTAAAACGTCACAAGCTTCACCCATATCACTACAGGCGTGTGCAGACGTTATTACCGCGGGACTATCCGCTACGGGTCACATTTTGCCGTGTAATGCTGCAAAGGCACAGTGAAGATCCCCACTTCCTAGACAAAATTCTATGGTCGGATGAAACAACGTGCAAGAAAGATGGGTATTTAAATCTTCACAATCTACATAGTTGGAGTAATGAAAATCCACACTTGATGAGACAAGACAAATCCCAATATCAATTCAAGGTTAACCTATGGACCGGCATATTAAATGGAAAAGTAATTGGGCCCTTTGAGTTACAAGGAAACTTAGATGGCAATAGTTATTTAAAATTTTTACAAAATGACTTGCAAGAATTGTTAAACGACGTGCCCTTAAGTGATCTTCAAAACATGTGGTTCCAAAATGATGGTTGCCCAGCACATTATGCCCGTCCTGTGCGAGAATATTTAAATCAAGAGTATCCAGGGCGTTGGATCGGGCGACTTGGTCCTATCTTATGGCCACCCCGTTCACCCGATTTGAACCCCCTGGACTTCTTCTATTGGGGTTGTCTTAAAAACAGGGTCTACTCAAAACCCATTGTGACATTGGACGAGCTTCGTCGAAATATCACTCAGGCTGCTGATTACATTAATAGCAGAAGATATGCAAGACAAATAAAACGATCATTTTTAAGGCGATGTCGTGCATGTATTAATGCTGGTGGCAAACAGTTCGAACATTTGCTATAATGTTAATAACTTAATAAATTACACGTGAAACTGTTTGTACCATTTGTTTTGAAATATTAAACATTTTTCAAGAAATAATACTTTTATTACACCCGACCGTCATTTGGCCCCTGTTAAGAAATAATAGGCCCATATTTTTTTATAACTTGTTTTCCTAGAGTATTATACCATTTTGGAATATTGGTTAGTTGCGTCAATTTTTAAAAAAACTTGCCATACTAGTGTTCATACTTTTTTTTTACACCACGATAAGTTAAATTTGGTTAAAAGTAAAAGTCTTCAAAAAATTTAGGGAATAAAATAAGTTTCATTAATTTTCGTGATAAAACAAGAGTTATTCTGGAGTTTTTAAGAATTGTGGTAGATAGCAGTACTATTCAGGTTGCCTATAAAAAAAAAAGAAAAAAATATTTAAAAAATTGTGGTCATGGTAGTGAAAAATATCATAAACGGTCTCAATTTCTGAAGAATTTAATTTTTTTTATATAACTTAAAATATAATTGGGATATATTTTTTTTTCTTTTTTTACCCGATTAGTCCGGGGCAGGTCTATCCTCCGGTGTTGGCTTATCGTTGAATTTTGGGACACGTTGTATATATATATATATGTTTGTCATAACGAATGCCCCACGCTACACGCTCGTCGCTGAGTTTCTACACTACACTACCTATAAATCACTGATACTATTTATGATAAGATTTTAAGCATACTTACACTGTCGGTATGTACTCTCCGGGAAAAGCGTTTGTGGTGTAACTGATGAGCAGGCACGTTTTACCCACGGCACTGTGAACAAGCAAAAAAAAAACGATTAGATTCAGTGATAAATAGAAAAATACTATAAATAAAAATGTAAACACTCCTTCTACTAAGTATTCAACTAAATAACGTTCCTCTCATTCACATTTTTTAAATCAAGATTGGTGAATAATTCTGGTAGTATTTCAAATACATACATAGGTATATGTAATACCTGTGGGGATAAGCAGAGTCGGAAGAACGGCGATTTAGGTCGGACCACGTTTAGCGAAAAAAGTATGGGTATAGATGGAAAATTGTGAAAAAATTAATAGGTGGTTAGCTCATCACCTATACAATCACAAGTCCAGTATCTCATTTGTTTATACTCAGGAGTACCAAGAGATGAAAAGTTACAATTATATTTTATATATACTCGATATCCTCATCCATTAAATCTATCGTGAATTATATCCAAAATCTTAAATAAAAATTAAGAATAAAAAAAATAAACATCGTCTGGTAGAACACCAAATACGAGTAGTAATATCATAAAATCTTCGTATTTCAATTTATCATGATTGTATTCCACAGCCACATACGCACGACACAAAAATTGCAAGCCTTCTCCTTGTTGACCGAAAGAAAAAACAACTCTCGAGCACGTTCCTGACAGCTAGGCCGAAGGAGCCCGTAAGCGCCGCAGAATTCTTATGTTTACGACGTACTTTATAAGCTTCGACCGGAGCCGCGTCAAAATTGGCTTTACGTGGAACCTTGCTTAGGCCGCAAATTTGTATTAAAGTTTCACAGTATATTTATAATAAGATTAAACAAAATATAGACTTTTATAGTGTATATTGTTGAAGTCAACGATGTATTAACTCATTAACGTGGTAGAGCCATGCTGCAGCTATATTATATGGGTCACAGCAAACACTTACCATCAGGTGGACTGTGGGATCGTTTGTCACTCTATCCTATAAAAAATACATCACTCACTCACTCACTCACACACTCTCTCACACACACACACACACACACACACACACACACACGCACACGCACACACACACGCACACGCACTCGCACATGCACACACACGCACGCACGCACGCACGCACGCACGCACACACGCACGCACGCACGCACGCACGAACGCACGCACGCACGCACGCACACACGCGCACGCACGCACACGCACGCACGCGCACGCACACTCACACGCGCACGCACACACTCACACTCACACTCACACTCACACTCGCACGCAAACACGCACGCACGCACGCACGCTCGCATGCACGCACGCACGCACGCACGCACGCACGCACGCACGCACGCACGCACGCACGCACGCACACACACACACACACACACACAGTTAGTAGCAGTTCTAAATTGTTTAACTTTTTTATTTTACTTTTTAATAAAAAATTTTAATTTAAAGTATTAATATAATTGTATTACAGAAGAGCGGAGTCCTCTAATACAGTTATCTGTTTACTTAAAATAGGTACCCAACAATATTGTAACAACTTTACTACTTTTTTAAAGCAATTATTATTATTATATTATATATTATATTATACGGGAGAAAAACCGGCGACGAGGTTCGCCACCCGTCACGTCCTGTCTCCCGGAGGGGCGAAAAGTGGATTGCGGAGGCCCGTCTGGCTACGCTGAATGTATGTGGAGCAATGAATGATAAGATGGATGAAGTATGCGAAATGATGAATGATAGAGGAATAGATGTGTTATGTGTAAACGAGACGAAACGAAAGGGAAGAGATGTCACTGCACATGGCATGTATACCGCTTACTGGTCTGGAGTAGACGAGACCGAGCGGGCATGCCAGGGAGTCGGTGTCATCCTTTCAGAAAGAATGGGTCAATGTGTGAAAGAGTATGAATGTGTTAGCCCAAGGCTGCTGTGGATACGAATGAAAGTGGGCTTAAAGAAGTTGTTTGTGCTAGGGGTGTACGCCCCAGATATGTCTAAGCCCACTTATATCCGAGAGCAGTTTTGGGACATGGTAAGGCTGGTGTTGATGAAATGTAAGGAAAATGAAAATATTATTATGTTAGGAGATTTTAATGGAAGGGTGGGGGTGAAGAGGTCTGGTTATGAAAGGATATTAGGAACGTTTGGCGATGAAAGAATAAATGAGAATGGTGAAGACCTCCTCACCGTATGTGTGGAAAAGAATCTTTTTGTGGCGAACACTTTCTTTCGTCATAAGAGGATTTTTTTCTATTTATTAGGTTTACCAACAATTGCTAACACTAACACATCAAATTAGTACAATAACTTAAAACTATTAACAAAAGTGCTACAATTACTTAAAGGTAAACTCCGCATGCATATAACTTTATAAAAATAAACTGAAAAAACAATAAGTTATTCCTCAACTAAAATTAAAAATATATCTATTAGTAAGAATAGTGCTACATAAACTCAAAAAATTAAAATTAAAATGAAAATAATAAAAAATTTAAAATTTAAAAAAATATCTACTTTACGCTATTAACTTATACATTTACGGAGACACGTAGAGAATATTCTGGGTGAGTCAAAGTGAATGTCGATTTGATCGCTGTATTCATTAATAACTTTACAGAATCTGGCATATGGAGAATTTCTTCCCAATACAGTTCTTCTTAATGGTGAACTAAGTGGTGCAATAGAACTGCGGGGTACTCTCGAGGGTACACGAAATTTAAAAAGTTCCATTAAACTTGGGCAGTTAAATGTAGAATTAAATATTTTATGTACAAAAACTGCATCATTATACTTTCTGCGACTCTGTAAGGTTTCCACATTAAAAAGATGTAATTTGCTATTATAGGACCGTAGCTTTTTTGCTTTACCAATAGAATATGCTAGATGCCAGAGGAACCGCTTTTGAACACGTTCAATACGTAATGAATGTGTAGCATAGTGTGGTCTCCAGACCATACTACAATATTCTAAAATATTACGAACTAGACTATTGTAAAGAAATATTTTAGTTTTGTAATGCATATTTTTTGAGTTCCTTATAACAAATCCCAACATTTTAGATGCTCTCATAATAATGTTATCCAAATGTGGTACAAAAGTTAATTTTTTATCGTATATTACGCCAAGATCCCGAATAGTCTCGACTTCCTTAATTTTATTATTATAAATGAAGTAACTGACATGTATTAAATTCTGTTTTTTAGAGTATTTAACATGATAACATTTACTTGTATTTAAGCACATTCTGTTATTGCAGCACCACTGGATTAGTCTATCAATGTCACCTTGTAGCAATTTGGTGTCATCATCATTCTTAATTATTCTCATAAATTTTAAGTCATCGGCATATAAAAAATATTTTGAAAAGTGAAAACATTCTTTAATATCATTTATGAAAAAATTAAATAAAACTGGTCCCAAATGAGAACCCTGAGGAACACCGGAACTTATAGTTTTTGTATTTGATTGAAAACCATTAATTGCAACAAAGAAGGTCCTGTGCACTAAATACGAATTCAACCATTTGAGTAACGAGCCACAAATCCCGTAGGCACTCAACTTAGAAATCAAGATCCTATGCGAAACCTTGTCAAAAGCTTTGCTAAAGTCAGTATAAATAACATCAGCCTGATAGCCCATGTCAATAGCCTCGAACAGGAACTCCGTAAAGGGAACTAAATTCGTACTAGTTGACCGAGACCTGAAGAACCCGTGCTGATGATCACTTATATACAGGCCTAAATGTTGTTGAAAATGATGACAGATTAACGACTCAAATACTTTGGCAAAGGTTGACAGAATTGAAATGGGTCTATAATTGGAAATAATATCGATATTTGATGACTTATGTATGGGGAATACTTTTGCTATTTTCCATTTTGAAGGAAATACGCCAGAAGCTAAAGACAAGTTGTAAATTAATTTTAAAGGATATATCAATTCACAGGCACATTCTTTTATAAAAATTGGTGGTATTTCATCTGGCCCTGCGCCTTTATTACAATCTAGTCCTGCTAGTTTTTTTAAAATTGTATCGTGTTCTATTTTTGGATTTGAGAGACATAAGCTGTTATTTACTAGTGATTGTAAGTAATCGGACATGCATTCATCATAACTATCATCATTCTCTGGGCTATAAACGGAGGAAAAGTAAGAAGCAAACATCTCACATATAACTGTACTATCTGAGGTGGAAGATGATCCATCGCTCATGGTTGTCGGAAATGAACTTGACCCACCCCTCTTGTCTTTCACCATCGACCAAAACAGTTTGGGGCTTTTCGAGAGTGCATCTTCACATTTTCTTAGGTAGTAATTGTAATTCTTAGTTGCTAAGATTTCACAACGCTTTCCTATAAGTTTTAGTTCGATTCTATCCAACGGATTTTTATATTTATTATATCGCTTCCTTATCCTATTTTTTTCGTTCAATAATTTAATAAGTTTATGATCAAACCACGATGGAAATTTGTAAGTTTTTAATTTATAATAAGGTACAAAATTTCGTATTGCTGTATACAAAATTTCGTAAAATATCTCAAGAAACTCATTCACATCACACAATCCATCAAACTTCTCTACCCAATTAATTTCTCGTAAAAATTTACGGATTAATTCGTAATTTGCTTTATAAAAATTTGGTCTCTTATTATTGATATTATATGGTAATCTAGTTTCATTATCTACGTGAATCACAATATTAAGAGGTGGATGTTGTAGGTCAATTTTACTTAAGGCATCGATATTTTTGCTTACACTACAAGATAAGATGGTTGTCAAAACAAGATCAAGTATACGACCAGCTATATTAGTCACACGATTGCATTGAACGAGGTTGTTTACGTTAGCAAAATTTATTAATGTTTGGCTAATATTTGGTATTGAAGTATAAGTTTGGTTTCCTATAAGACTCCATTCTATATTACTTAAGTTGAAATCCCCCACAATACAAACGTGTGAGTTTACAATCTGTTCAAAAACGTTATTGCAATGATTTATATAATGCTCTAATACAGTACCTCGTACAGGTGGAGGTAGATAAACC